CTCAACCACCTAGCGGAGCGCGCGGGGCAAGTTTCTTGCTCAAGCTTGAAAGTGACGAAGAAGATCGATTTTCGTATAGACAAGGGGTTCTCGGAACGTGCTACCTGTAGCGAAGATAATAGAGGAGTCTAGAGCGGAAGGGAAGCCAGAAATCGGCGCGTCGCTTGAGAATTATGATTTGAGACTTGGAGGAGTTCCGGGGTTATACTGCGCGATTCCATGAATTCACAGATGAATTTCCAAAACTCGATCTTTGAGTGTGCCTATCGTGTGCCTATAGATCGTGGCCTAGAAAAAAAGTCAAAGAAGACTTTCAGGATCATGTAGATGGATGTACTCAGAAGGGATTCTGAACGGCCGTCGTAAATCAGCGCATTTCCCTGTTTTCGATGGATGATTAGGGTTGCCTCTGCTTTCAACCGTTCAAGAGTCTGTCGCCTTCAAACAGGTCACGGTCGTGGTTGCTGGCAGGAGCGTGAGAACTTTTGACTCCTCCGGACTCTGCCCCTCATCGACATTGCTCAAGATCAAAGACAAAGTAGCACACAGGAGCTCACGTTCACCGTCCCCGACCTCTTTCCCGATCTATTTGAACCTAGATGGAATTTAAATACTGCCCTGTTCTGAACAGGGAACCCCAGAAGCCAACTCTCTTTGGTTTTTATCGACCACAAAGTTCCAGCCGGAAATGCCTGTCTTTTCTCTCATTTTTCTTTCCTTCGCCGTGGCAACTCAAGCGCTAGCCCCTCGAGCTCCGAATGCGACGTGCACCAAGCACTACATCGTCAAATCCGGAGACTACTGCATCAAAATCGAAAAAGCCAATAGATTGAGTGCAGGGACGGTTCTCTCATTGAACAGTGGAGTGGTCAACTCTGCCTGCACGAACCTTTGGCCTGGACAACAGATTTGTATCGCTATCGGTTCAACCTCGCCCTCTTCGACTTCATCGCCTCCCCAGAATACCTGCGTGATGTCGACTGTCACCCTTCCCGGAACAAACTCAACGACGACTGCCACGGTCACGAACACACTTCCTGCTGTCACTGTTACGGCTGCTCCGGTGACCATCACCCAAGGACTCAATGCCACAGTAACTATAACGAGTGCCACTACCAGTACGGTCACTCAAACGGTAACGACAGCGCAGCCGAGCGCTACCTATTACGGCTGCCCTCCAGCTTCTCTCGATGGCAAAACTGGTACGAATTTTCGATCTCTGAGAAGAGTTTTCCACTGATAGTCATTTCTTATAGGCACGTTGCAACAAGGCGCTCTCTACTCCTCGAACGTCGCGGGTACCTCAGTTCCGGTTATCAGCTGCGGGTCAGTCCTCGAGTCTTATATTCCTCTATGGGGATCCATCTTATTTATACGCATCGGGTGGTGAACAGATATAGTATACAAGGCTATGGCCTCGCAGCTTTTTGCGGATACGTCAAGGTACTGTAAAATTTCATCCCTACATAGCGGTCTTTCTGCTAACAGCCTATCGAAAAAACAAAAAAAAAGTCCACCGGAGAACTTCTACCTATATACAAATCCAACTCGTTCTCTGCTTCTTTTTGTCCTCCGAATGCGCCTACGATGCAAACCGACTTCGCGGTCAACAAAACACCCTGCCCGAAATTCAACGACGCTGGGAGTACCGCCCCCTATCAAGATCCTGGGTACACTTATACATATATAGATGGGCTACCACACCCAACCACGAAATGCTATTAGTGAGTTTGACATTTTATACTGTTGTGGACTCTGAACTTACCTTGGGAATCTTCCAGCAAAACTGGTGATTTGTATTCTTTCTGCGCTTATATAGTACGTTGCTCAATTTTTCTTTCGGTGCGAAGGAGCTGAACTTGGGTCATTTCAACTTAGGATGGAAATATCGCCAATCTCAACGCGTATATTAACGTCTACCCTGTGAATGCCAATAACTGTGCTAAAACGACGGCATAAGTAGTACAGTAAGAGACGTTTTGCCCGTGTGTGTAGTAGCGTTCAGTATCATACATCTAGTAAGGACGGTGACGGACCCAATGAACGAGGCCAACTGTATCTGGTCGGCCATCTTTTGACGATCAATGATCAATGACGTTTCACCAACATAGCCCGTGTGACCTTGTGGTGTATCGGGCGACAGCAAAAACGAAAATCGCGTATAGAATGACCGCCAACGGAGGAGCCTCGCCGAAGATGGCCGTGATCACCCACTTCCAGATTGTGAGGGATACGTCCAATGATACCCGTCAAAAAAAATATCCTTAGGACGCAAAGTATGATCGATCTCTCACCTCGTTCAAGTACTTCTCGTTAAAATAACAATTATGAGACGAGCCCACAGCATGGCCATCTGCAAAACCTTCAGCATCACCTTGATTTTGGGAGAAATCCTGTGAACACTCGGTGCTCGTCCTTGAACCGCCCAGGGGAGTGTATGATAGTCCGAGTACAGCTTCATAGCAGGTAGGGCAGCAAGAACAATTATATCTAGAGTGGTGGGAAAGAACGGCAAAGGATCAACTATGTACGTGGATCGTTTTCGTTCCTTGGATTACGGGACAAACGCACTTGGTCGACTTTCAAGATGAAGTGCATGGTCCCGAAATGCAGCTATCAATAGATCAGTCAATACGTTTCCATCGCAACGCAAGGCTCGGAGAAAAAGCATATGCACATTGTACACGTTGTACAAGTCGAGCAACATTCTTTACAGCAGAAGTATCTGTGCGGAAGAAAAGGTTTTAAGTGTTATTCAAAGAGCTCAAATAGACGAAAGACTCGCCCGTTATCGCAATTTGAACCGGCTCCATTATTATCAGGACACGCTGAGCTGTTCCCCATGCATCCAGTCGGATTAAATCCTCCATTGAGCTGGTTGATAAGTGAACTACACGGAGGCGTTTCGATTGCCGTGACCGAACAGGAGGAAGCACACTCGGCATAGCAACAGTATCGAGATTGTACATTTGCAGAGGTTACGGTGCATTTTGCGACAGGCCAGCCATGTCGGTTTCTAAGATTTGTGTCATTTTCACCCTGGATCGATCCAAAAACAGAACTTTCAACCTTGATAGATCAGCCTAAAAAAGAGACCGAAGAAGGTCCCAAGGACAATTATCCAGGCCCACACAAACCCCCAACGTCTGTCCTCACGTTCCACAAGTGTCCTGGATCCGGAATCCCGCACCTTGGCCCAATATTTTTGGAAGGCATTGTTCATGGAGGATAATGAAGGGAGGATAAAGGTATCCATTGCTGGAGGCAATTAGGACACATACAAGTGAAAAAGAGATAGAGCTGCCTTTTGTAAATAAACAGCACTGACAGCCATACTTGAAAGATTCCCATCCCATGTCAATCTATTGCAACGCTATCGCGGTAGTACGATGACAGTTGGACCCAAAGCACCATCCCGAACGTACCCTTACCCATTATGAATATAGACTCCGCATATCAAGCAGAAGCAAGGGTCGTTGTATATATGCGAAGTACCGATGAGAGTCTTACTTGTCCAAAAGGGAGTCTTGTGGCTCTTGGTGTGGAGAAGGAAGTGTTAGGACAAGAAAGGAAGTCAGCCCGAGGGTCTGGCTCGAGATACCAGGATTGACTCGGAATTTCGACTCGAGAACCTAGTGACTGCATGTCAACTTGGACCAGATATCGATGACCTCCAACCCGAATGTTTCACATCGTCTGGAGGACATGAAACCCGGTGGACATGAACGGAAATGGACAGTACTGGCAGTTCTAGAGATCGAGGAAACGTGGGGGTAGCACGAGGACTCATATGGTGGCGGCGACGTCTGTACCTCCACCGACGCGTATCTCGAAGTGATGCAAGTCCGTCTTCGTTATGAAATCAGAGGTTTGGTGATGGGGTGGAGGCAACGCTCAGGAGCAGGAAGTGATGGCGGTCGAGTGGGTGGGTGGAGAATGTATACAGGATCCAGAAGGACCTACAATGGATGTAAGAGGCAAGAAACGATGTGGAAAAGGAATCTTGTGCCAATTGGTACCCTTGCGGGAGTTTACCGGGTATGAAGGTCTTTCGATGAATTGGAGGGTAAAAGTCTAAGAGATCAACGGCTACGTAACAGCCGAGTGACGCAGAAGCACGTGATGTGATATGCCCAGTCAAGTGGCCTACTCCTTCTTCCATACCAAAGGCCTTCTGCTTTTCGAGAAAGTGGGGGCATATCGGAGAATGGTAGTGGAGGAGGTTGCCAGCGGCTCTATACCCTCATCTGGCACCTTGACACTCCAACTCTACCAACGCGTCTTTCTCTCCACTGGCAGTTCGACGTGGAGACTAGATTTCCGGACTTCCGCCCGCTCTTGCCGTTGCGCTTATGTTTATTCACTTTTCTTCCCGACTCGGAACAGTGTGAGCCTGCTATCGTCCCCCATCGTCTTCCTCCTTATCCTTCTACCTCTCCGTTGTCGGGTTGAAGAGATAAGATCTATCGTTTACGGGTTATGTGCCATAGTATCGACTACTGATACATCTCAATAGCTCATACTAACCCTTTATTCTACTCACTAGGTGTTACTTTCTGCTCCGTCGTCCCCCCTGACCCGGCTGTATCGTGTGCGTCTCGCCTAGGTCTTCAAAGTGCCTATCTTTCATCTCATTTTTCTTTCTCTCGCTTTGTCCACTCAAGCGCTACTAGCATGGTATAGCACCCCGAGCTACCCCCGCTACGGCCTGCACCGTTGGTTCCAGCGCTAGTTGTGGGTCTCTTGACTCGGCTTGTATCCGGTCGGTTTCGGTGCTTTTTGTGTCATATGGATTCGGTCAAATTTTAGCCCGTTTCTGTGTCCATCTTGGGTCGATGCCTCCCTCCAAGTACAACGCCTCCCACCCTCACTCCTACTCTCATTCCGACTCCTACTGACACTCACAACACCTCTCCCGCTCCGACGGTCTCTTAATTTTTGAGAACAGTGATTTCATCTTTCAAGTTACAATAGTTCCTTCCTTTTCTCGTTGCTTATAAGCACTAATGGGGTAGTGGTAACCTGGGTCGTTGCCATTCTGGGTCACCTGTCTTTCGACCCGCCGGGGGTTCGATTCCCTCTTAGTGTAATTGCGACTCAGTAACATCTTTTTCCCCCCTTTCCCTCGCATCAATATCACAGTTTGAAGTTTGTAGCTAAGGTTTCAAATTTCAAGGTTTAAACATTGATTCATGCACTTGTGCTTGCCCGGTGCCGCTATCCTATGAGCCCATTGCTATCGACGCTGTCTCCTTCTCGTAGACTCGTAGCAGTGCCAGGAAGAGGGACAGAAGAGGGACAGAAGATAATCAGCACTTTCAATCCTTGTGTTTCGAGTTTGAGCTTTCAGAAAAACTTGGTAAACGTCGTAAGACGTATACAAGTCGTCCGATATCGCATGGATGGATTCGTATAGAGTACACGCGTACGCATACGCGTTATTGCATTTCCACCTCACATCCTCCTAAACACATTCCGACTCCCACTCCTAACACCTTTCCTCCTCACCGTCCTCCCTTTCCTCTCCCTCTCAGATCCCACCCCACCCCGCACCTCGTCCTGCTCATCGCCACCTCGTTCCATTCCCATGCCAAACGTTTCAAATCCTTTTCTCGGTGGTTTGCCTTTTTGTTTCGAATTTGATTGGGATTGGGATTGTGAAGAAGTGGTAGAAGAGGCGGAAGGAACCCAAGAAACTTCCATCCCCCCTTCTCCATCCTCGTCATTCCGGTGTTTCTGTTTCTTACTTGAATCACCACCACGTCGTTCCCCAAACGACACGTCTTTTCCTCCGCCAGAGTGACTCTGGGAGTCCAGGCGCATAGGTACGAGCGTGACTTTAGGATTTCTTTGTTGCACGTCGCGCTTCGGATTAGTTTTAGAATGATTTCGATTTTGCTGTCGATTCCTCGCGTACGCCTCTTCAGCTCTTAGATTCCTTTGACCTGGTCTTGAGCGGGGGTCGAAAGGTGTGAGTTCTACCGGGGGAGTTCCCGCGTCAACCATTGTCCACGAAGAAAACTAGAGAAGTGAGCGTACCGCCCTCATCACTACTATCTCCTTCCTCTCCCTCATCATCATCACTACCACTCCCACTCTCATCGTCGTCGTCCAATCCATCAGAAGACATCTTATCACTCTCCTCTTCCTCATCCTCAACCGCCGTTTTCCCTCTCGCTCCACTATGCAACTGAGCAACAGAAGAAGGATTCAAAAGCGCGTACTCCCGACTGTTCACATCAACCTCAAACTCTGAATCTTCAAATATTTTCGAGAATCGTGGGTCTGTTAACAGGGATGCTGACTGAGACGTGGGGGCGTCGACCTCCATCGCGTCTACTGCATCGTTAACGTCGACAGCTTTCTGAGCGTCCTTCTGCCTCTTTCTCTCCTCTTTCCGCCAAACCCTCTCTTCCTCCTTCAATATCTTCTCTGCGAGGGCCTTGTTGACTTTTATCCCCGCAGTAGCGTTGGCGTTGGCGTTCTTAGTTGAGCGAATCCTCGTCTCAGCCAACTTGTCCATCTTTCTTCTCACCTCCGATTCCCGATGTTCAGAATACACAAAAGGATTCGAAATGACACGAGCTGTGTCGTAGAGCTTCAAAGAGATAAAGTATCCGTGCATGTATGGTTTCAAGAGTGGGGTTCCTAGGAGGGATGAAAGGCCGAGTCTGCGCGCCAGACGAGGAAAGGTTAGTGAACTAACTAACGAGAAGACTTGGTGGGAGAACGTACTTGTCAAGCTCACTCCTCTCGACAAACTTGAAATCCTCATACCCACTTCTGCCCCCGCCTACACCTGTCGAATCCTCCATCTCCTCCGTAACGTTTTCTAAAAAGCTCGCCCACTTGGGTGCAGGGCCCAATTGGGGAATGAAGAATGTTGACATTTGGATTCCTTCGTTTGCTGTTAGGATTAAACCAGTTGAAGGTATGTGGTGGACGTGGTTGAGGTCGGAGGGTGGGGAGAGGGAGAAGAAGTTGTTGGTGGGCTGCGCGCGTAAGTTAGTACACAGGATAACAAGAAAAGAAACAGCGGACGCACATCACCCCTCTCCCAAACTTTGACAACCTTCCTATCAGCACTCAATACCATCCCTCCCTGCACCTCACTCGCCATCTTGTTTCCTCCCTGTATCCAACTCAAACTCGTGATAGGCATTCCATACCCTTGGTCTTTAACCGCGTAGGGGGTAGAAGAACGGATGTCGTAGAGTAGTGTGTGGCCTGTTGAGGTTCCGATTGCGTAGTTTAACCCATCGTTTCTGGATGATATCGCTGTTATGCCCAATGAAGACTCGGGGGTGGGGGAAGAGAGTTTACTAGCGGGTAACCGAAGAACACCCACGGAATTCCTACTCCTTGGATCCCAAAACTGCACAGACGGAGTGCTTTCAATGCCAAAGGCCCAAAGCTGATGTGCAGGATTGATGTCTATACAATTGACTCCTTCCACCTCTTCCTGGTCCTCTAAAACTAACGGAGCCAAAAATCGTCCTTGTTCAAGGTTGAGTCGGTATATTTCGTTCCCAGAAGCAGAGAACAAAGCGTCGCATGAGGGGAAGTGGTACGCGAGGGATCGACCGAAACGGGGTATACGAGTTCTGTAGTGAAAACCACCTTGAGTGTGTAATTCGACTGTTCGATCGGTTTGTAGGTGAATTGATTTTGTCCAGTCGTTTGATAGGATCTGTTTCACTAGTGAGGGATGGTAGAAAAAGTCGAAAAAAGAGGACGCACAACAAAATCAACGTTCTCAGAATCGGTATGCCTCTCAAATTTTAAACTCAACTGGTCCAAATCCCAAACTCTTATTTGTGGTTTATAAGTCCCAGTAGCGATAACGTGTGCTCCATCGTTTGTTGTTTTTACTTTATTTGAAGCTTCTGGGAATTCGAAACCTTGGATTAATTCGATTGTTCCTTCATAATGCTCTTTTTGAATTCTCTTTCGGTTTCCTTTTTTTTTACGTGTTAACCAGTCTGGAAGGGATGATGAAGATCCAACTGTTGCGCCGTTTACTGTGTAGATTTTGATTTGGGAAGAGGAAGAGGAAGACATCTTTTTTTTTTTGACCGGCAGGCAATTCAACATTTTCTAGGCTGTGTTTCTCACGTACGACCTTCCCATTCAGCGAGAGAACCGTTCATACACTCAACCCATTGGCTTTTTCGATCTTGTTACATCACAAATGTGTCTCTGGATTTGACGGTTGGAACATGTTGCCGTATCATAACTAGCGAGTGTGGTTCGAGGTGGTAATAGACCTAGGGCTTGAGAAGCTATTATGAAGGAAAGAAGAGAAAAGACAGGCATTGGATTGGGTCGGCGGTGCTGCTAGTGAAAGAGCGTGAGGGATATAAGAGAAAAAACTAAGAATACAACTTCTGGAGGGAATTCATGTTCGATGCAGAGAAGAATTTAGAGCCATCGGCCTAGCTAGTATTTCTCGTCCTGAATTGAAGACTGACTCGTTGAACACGTTGAATTGCGGACGGCGAGCGTGTTGCCGGCGAAAAGCTCTTCAAGAGTGTTTGTTTTTTGTTCATGGACTTGGCAAGATCTACCTCTTTTCAATCTCAACAAATTGGATTGTTAAAAGTGCTTGTGCTTGAATTATCTGGATGATGGTTCCTAGTCTTCTGCTTAGAAAAGATTCCCACGCCTTGACACTTTTTCCGATGCAACCACGTCCGTCGTCAAGCACATCGTACATACTTCTTTCTCGTACTCCAAGCTTCATGATGAGGTCTTTCCTGTGCCACTCTGACTAGGAGGGATGGAAATAAAGTCTTTATTTTATTTTGATTCCAAATCGAGCCACTTTTAAACTTCCGTCTCTTCAGACAGCCTGGGAGCCTCCGGATATCTACCTTCACTTACATTTCCGACCACTGGATCCAGGAACTTCGGATTTTCTACATACACGCTCCTCAGTTCCTCACCCCTGTTCTCCGCCACTTGTTCTCCACCAAGAGGTAGCCGCTACGGATGTTGAAGAGCCGGGATTCTTCTTCCGCCTTGTCGGACCTAGCGCTCACCTCGTACCGGATCGAATCGAACCAAACGTCCAAAGACTTTCATTAGGAGATGATATATTTATCCAGGCGAATATCGAGCAAGAGCGGGGCAGAGAATGAGTGTCTTACCTCCACCACACTGACAGTGACCACTAGAGTACTGACCGGGGACCGCTTCAGCTTCCCTTCTCGGTGTTCCTGGATCTAGGGGGAAGCAAGTCTTCACCTTGTCTCTATCGGAGAATCGTGATCGTGCTATTTCAAAGACTCATGCCGAGCAATGCGTGTTCTTTACAAGTTTCACCCAACATTTGTGAAAAATTTTGGCATAACATATAGCGTGCATATGACTTTAATAGAAGAACCCAACAAAAACCCCACAAACGGCCCAACAAAATCAAATTATGCAACTCAGTCCAACCAGGGGATGACCATAAAAGGTTTTGACTATTCAGGTGATGATACACGGAAATTCCGGGAGGGAGAAGATAACAGATTGAAGAGGCTTAAATGGAGAAAACGAAATTACAGTCAATAAATAGGCGATATCAAGAATGCGTGGTTTGACAATGGTGAAGTGCGGCCTGCAAGTGGGTGAGGACAATAGGCCATGATTATAGGAGGAAGAGGTTACACGCACGGGAACTGGGATCCATCCCTTGTGCATCTTGCCGACATTACATGGTAACCGTTACAGTCGTCGTAGTGGCATTGGTTACAGTCGCAGTGACTGGAGCTTGAGTCACCGTCACTGCAGCAGGAGTTGTGGTGACAGGAGGAGGAGTGTAATTAGCCGTGATAGTAATCGTGGTGATTGATACCGCGCCAGTGACTGTCACGGCAGTGCAGGTGGTGTTCTGAGAGGATGGGGTTGCCGAGGTCGAGGATACACCGGAACCGATGCAAATCGCCTGCCCAGACCACAGATTCGTACACCCAGAGTTCACAACTCCATTCAACGAGATAACTGTCCCAACACTCAATCCGTTCGCTTTCTCTATCTTGTTACAGGTGTCTCCGTATTTGACGGTATAGGTTTTGGTGCATGTCGCAGCAGTAGAAGCTCGGG